GCCCCCCCCCCCCACACCCTCTTGGGACGAGGCCCTGCGAGGCCCCCCCCCCGCGGGGACGATGCCCTGCGAGGCGAAAGGCGTGTGCACCCCCTGGCGGGGGGGGGGCCGGATGGGATCTGCCGGGGCGCCCGCGTCCTCGCGAGTGCCTCGAGGCAGAAGGAGCGTCGACCGCGTGCCGCCCGTGCAACAGGGCGGCGGCAGGCTGCGGTAGAGGACCCAGCAACGGCATTAGCGTAGTGGCGAACGTTTTCTGATTCGGCGCTTCGGCATTTGGCGGAAGAGGCGGGGGGGGGGCGGGGGGGGTCTGGCTCCGGACCGCTGCTGAGCGCGACTGTTTGCAACAGCGCGTGCTACTGGGGAGACCCCACCTGCTCGGAACATGCGCCCCAAACAGCCAAGATCTACTCCTTGGGGGGGAGAAGGGGTGCGAGAGCCCGCACCGATCGGCAAACTTACTCGACCGAAGAACCCCACATACTTATAGAATGTCTGGGGGGGGGCTGAATTTACCACCCCCCTCTTTCTGAGCGAAGAGGTCCAAGACGGCCCCAAGAGGCCTCCCAGACCCCCGAAAAGAGCCCCAAGAGAGCCTCGAGACTCTCCAAGAGAGCCCCAAGAAAGCCTCGAGACAGCCCCAAGAGACCCCCAAGACAGCCCCGAGACAGCCCCACGGGGAGCCCGAGAGAGCTTCAAATGACATGGGGAGGGGGTTGAGCACATGTGCGAAGGTACCCCCACAGAATAGATTATCCCGGCAAAGCAACCTAACAGCGATGTGTAGAAGCATATATGGAAGCATTCCCCTTAAGATTCAGATGAGAATCCAGTTGTAGAGTTCTGCTGTTCTCGCAGTCGCAGTCGCATTCGCGATGACAGTCGCAGCGGCAGCGGCAGTCGCAGTCACAGCCTCAGCCTGCCTCAGTATCAGCCTGCCTCAGCCTCAGCCTCAGCCTGCCTCAGCCTCAGCCTCAGCCTGCTTCAGCCTCAGCCTCAGTCTGCCTTCAGCCTCAGCCTCTGTGCCTCAGCCTGCCTCAGCATCAGCCTGCATCCGCCTCAGCCTCAGCCTCAGCCTCAGCCTGCCTCAGCATCAGCCTGCCTCAGCGTCTGCCTCAGCCTGCCTCAGCCTCAGTCTGCCTTCAGCCTCAGCCTCAGCCTGCCTCAGCATCAGCCTGCCTCAGCCTCAGCCTCAGCCTCAGCCTGCCTCAGCCTCAGCCTGCCTCAGCGTCTGCCTCAGCCTGCCTTCAGCCTCGGCCTCAGCCTCAGCCTGCCTCAGCCTCATCAGCCTCAGCCTGCCTGCCTCAGCCTCAGCCTCAGCATCAGCATCACCATTCTCAGCCTCTGCATCAGCATCAAAATGTGGCCCGGGAATGGAGTTCTGGGAACTCGAAGAGAAGTACAGAGTGGCCTGGAGTTCTGGGAACTCGAAGAGCACGAAGTGGCCTACAGTTGGCTCCGGGCATTCAAAATGTGGCCCGGGAATGGAGTTCTGGGCACTCGAAGAGCACGAAGTGGCCTACAGTTGGCTCCGGGCATTCAAAATGTGGCCCGGGAATGGAGTTCTGGGACTCGAAGAGCACGAAGTGGCCTACAGTTGGCTCCGGGCATTCAAAATGTGGCCCGGGAATGGAGTTCTGGGAACTCGAAGAGCACGAAGTGGCCTACAGTTGGCTCCGGGCATTCAAAATGTGGCCCGGGAATGGAGTTCTGGGAACTCGAAGAGCACGAAGTGACCTACAGTTGGCTCCGGGCATTCAGAATGTGGCCCGGGAATGGAGTTCTGGGAGGTCGAAGAGCACGAAGTGTGTGACTGTATGCGAAAAACGATCCCCCCCGGCAAACACCAACGGCCCCCCAACGGCTGCCCAGACCCCCCTGTGGAGTAATGTGCTGCTCTCTTTTGAGACTACTAGAAACCTATCAGTCTTCGCTGTTAGGTAAAAATCCGACCCTATGACGAACTCACACCGGGGGGGGGGTCGGGCCTCAGGAAAGGGCAGGAGAGGCTAGGAGAGGGCAGGAGAGGACCCCAAGAGGACCCCAAGATGGCGCCCAAATGGCATTACGAGTCTTCGAAGAACCCCTCACCACGACATATGCCCAAAGCCCGACTTCTCGTCCTCCTTGTCATCGTCCGTTCCTTCCTTGCTCATTTCCTGCCGCCTCCC